TTTGCATTCCAAGCAGGAATTCATTTAAGGGTCCACAGTTCCCAGGACAGCTGATAGGCATAAAAATTAAGCAGATGTCTGAGATAGACCTTAAATGAGGATGGCCCTACAAAACATAGGATGTCTTAGTATCAAATAATCAGTTGCCTGAAAGGGAAAAAAAGGTTTAAACTAATAGAAAATGGCAGGAAAGTGGCTGAGATGGGTTCCCACTCCAGCAGAGGAACTGCCAGGAGGAAGAAGTCTGGCTCTGTAAAATTCCTGTTCCTAAACAATGGTGCTGGGAAGGTCGGTGACACGGGGGAGGTAGGGCTAATAATAACAAATACTGTTAGAGTTATACCTTACATAGAGAAAACTGCACTGGAACTGGCTTTCCAAGAGCCCAGCAAAAAGCTTTTGTTTAATTTATGGGGCTCAGGCTATTTTTAGCTGGCAGATCCTTGGGGTTTTATCTGGGATTGCTGCTCTGAGCCAGCAGCTGGAACATTTTAATTGTTTGCTCTGGATTTAGGGTGGGTTTTTTTTCCTAAAGGGAGAAAGAGGAAAACAGGTGCTGGGGTTTGACCTTGCTGGTCTCCAGATTTCTTTGGCAGCACCTTCCGGAGTGGGGATAGCAAGTGGGTTTTGGAGCAGCTCTCTGCCTCCTGGGAGACTTTTTGGGGTGGTGCTGGGGGGTCACCAGTTGGAACCCCTATCCTCCAGTCCAGCCAGGAGCCCACACTCATCCCCAGCACTGCCAAAGGCCAGCAGCCAGCAGGTGAGAGAGTGGCAGGGGGACACGGTGTCTCCCCATCCTCTGGTTGCCATGCAGGTCTAAAAATAGCCTGGGCAGTCCAACAAAGAGGGAGCATCCCCTTCTTCCAGGAAAGCCAGAGGCACTCCAGGCCTGCTTTATTTGTCAGGAAAGCCCTTTGGTATCTGCCTGGAGCGTGGATGTGAGAGGAGCCATCTGCTCGGGGACAGGAGGTGTTTACTCCAGCCTGGGCACAGACGGCCTCTGCGGAGCCTCGAGCAGCTCCAGCGCTCTGCTGGCACCCCCCTGCTCGCAGCTTGGCCCCAGCCATGAAGGCAGACGTCTCTGTTTATGAAAACACCGGCTCCTCCACTCTGGGAGCTCCCAGGGCAGCTCAGAAATCCTCCCTGGCTGGTGGCAGCTGAGAGCTGGCGTGGTGGGTGACAGCGGGACTGCCACGCGCTGGGGTGGCGCAGAGCGCTGGGACTGCCAACAGCCTCTCCAGAGCTGTGCCCCAGGGCTGAGCAGAGCCCAGGCAGAGCCCCCCGGCTGGGCAGGGCTGGAGGGGCTGCTGGGCTGCAGCCCATGGCAGATCCACTGGCCCTGCAGGGAGCCCACAGCTCACCACAGCGCCAGAGGGTATTTTGGGGTTACCTATCCCACTGCCCAAGGCTGCTGGCAGGCACCTCTCCCTGCGCTCGTGGGAAGGTGTTGGGTGAGTTGGTGGGACAGAAAGGAGGCAATTGAAAGCAAAGCAAAACACCTCGGCGAGGGTGAAGTACTCCAAGACCCCCATCTACCTGCACTGACCCATGAGGACATGGGATTGGGATTAAAGGGAAAACTTTAAGAAGTTTTTCTGAAGAATGGCAAAAAAGCACAAGTTTTCAACCTTACTTCCTCCCCCCCCCCCCTTTTTTTTTTTTCCCATTTTTGTCTCCCTGCAGAGTAAATCTTTTTCATTTGGATCCTGCTGACACAAATAACCCCAGGTTTTGGGCTGAAACATCAGCAATCACCTCTTTCCATTGCCGGCCGGCACGACAAGCTAATTTTAACCTCCCAAGCTCCCTCCCATCTCCTGGAGGTTGTCCTGTTGCAGCCAGGGAGTGCTAGAAAATAGTGCATCGCCCACTCATCCAGCCTCCTTCAAGGGAAATATTTACATGATGCCAAAGAGAGGGTTTCCATGGCAGTGATGACTCCAGCACCGTCACCTTGGAAACCACTTGAGGCCATCTTGAAGGGTTTGAAAATCCCCTTCAGAGACAAATAAGGAGAGGGAGAGGAAAGGCCACTGGGATCAGAGTGGCTTTCCAGTCTCCCCTGACTTTCCTGTCAGCTCCTTGCCTGCTCCCGCTGCCTGGGTCCCTGCCCACGCCACTGGGATGATTTGTAGTCCAGGTGTTGCTTCAGGGATAGACCCAGGACAAAGGAACGAAGTGCTTTGCAAACAGAAATGGTTGGGCTGGTGCTTCCTCCTGCTTCCCAAACCATCCGGCAGTGACTCTGGTGCCAGGGCAGTGCTCAGCCCCAGGGGGGGCTTCAGGGAGACCCCGCCGCACCAGCAAACACCAGGGTGATCACGGTGCCTGCCCAGCTTCGAGCACCAGCTGCTTTTGGAGCAGCAAAGGCACAGCTCCCATGACTTTAACAGCCCAAGCGCCCATCACACGTGAAGAGCCCCGTGTTTCTTCCGAGGAGCTGCCAAAATCCGAACGGCAGGCAGGAGACGGCAGCTGGCAGCAGAGCGCTCGCCTGTGGCGGAGGAAGGAACGCACCTTCCTCTGCGTGTCCCGCACTTCCCGGGCTCAGCTCCCGCATCCCGGGCTCAGCCCCGCATCCCGGGTTCATTCCCGCACTTCCCGGGCTCAGCTCCCGCATCCCGGGCTCAGCCCCCTCATCCTGGGCTCAGCTCCCGCATCCCGGGTCAGCCCCCGCATCCCGGGCTCAGCTCCCGCATCCCGGGCTCAGCCCCGCATCCCGGGTTCAGCTCCCGCATCCCGGGCTCAGCTCCCGCATCCCGGGCTCAGCCCCCGCACTTCCCGGGTTCAGCTCCCGCATCCCGGGTTCAGCCCCGCATCCCGGGCTCAGCTCCCGCATCCCGGGCTCAGCCCCCGCACTTCCCGGGCTCAGCTCCCGCATCCCGGGCTCAGCCCCGCATCCCCCGGTTCAGCCGACCGAGAGCCTTTGTCCACTGATGCTCCCAGCCGGCAGGAGCTCTGTCAGCGGCAGCCAGTCCATCTGGCTCCCAAGGACACCGGGAACACGGCAGGGAGAGCAAAGCTTTCTGAGCAGATGGTTGGTGAGCTCCACGATGCAGCTGGCAGCGGCAGGGGTGGCCAGGGTCGCTGTTTGTTCAAGCTATGGGATTGCTTTCTTTGGGGTTTTGCTGAAAAAATATTCGTTATTTTCCTCGTTTTGTTTAGGGCAATCTAAAATGTTTACTTCTTTCTCCCTGAGCTGCCTCCATGCCGAGGTGTCAGTGACTCTCCAAGCCAGAGCTCTTCCCTGGCACCCACGCTTTGCTCTGCTGAGCTGCCTCCCACCCCTTCTACAGGCACCTTCACACCACCCCTCACCCTCCAGAACCCAGCCAGCTTTCCCAGAGAGAAACACCCGTGCACTTCAACCTAAAGGGGGGGAGTTTGGCCACAGTGCCAGTACCAGGGTAACTGATATCTCTCCCTCCTGCTGCCTGTGCCAGGCTGGCTGCTCCTGCCTGCACCTCGAGGGGGTCATCTGGGGGTGCCAGGGGAGCGCCCAATTCATTCTTCACCTACAGCATGTGAAAATCTTCCTTTGTATTGATGCGGCTTCTCATGTCTTGAATGTTGAAACGCATGGGTGTGAGGCCAGGGGTGTTTGGCTTTGCCCAGGAGGGAGCTCCTGGCAACGCTGTGTGTCACAAAAGTCATGCCTGGCCTGTGCCAACCCAGGTGCCAGGTTGGGATGCAAAGCTTGGAATTACAAGTGTAAATATTTATTTGTGGGCATGAGATGTCCCAGCCAAATCAAGGCACCCAGGTCCAGGTGGGGTTTTTTAGGAGGTTCTTACATCCATCACCTGCTCAGGTACAGCACTAATTGCCTGAGCACTGACAGCCACACTAACAGATCTCCAGTCGCAGGAAAACTTGGCAAAGCTGCTCTGTTGCTGCTTGTCCATGGATCCAGGTGTCCTTGAGTCCCTCTGGCTGCAGTGACTGACTTGTGACACCAGACAAGGCTGGGAGGGTCTCAGAGCCTGGGATGCTGTGGTACCTCGGTCATCCCAGGGATAAAGCTGCTCTTTATCCCTCAGGGACTGCTCTAAGCCTCCCAAAAGCCAAGCCCTTCTCTCCAGGGCCGGGCTGTTGTTTTGTTTGTTTTACTTCAGCACAAACAATACCGAAGTCTTCAATAAAACTCCACTACCTCATCACATCACGGTGTGTCATGAGAACAAATATGTATTTTACAATTACCACGCTTCCGTGCTCTAAAGCTGGACGAACCAGTGCGGGAGGGGACCCTTTGGGGTGGGTTTGCGCAGGGGCAGGGGTCGGTCTCCCGGGAGGTTAACCCGGGGGGCGTGAGGAAAGGCCGGTTCTGTCCCCATCCTCCGCAGCCTCCTCCTCCTGCTCCCGCGGGGGTCTGGCCCCTTCCTGGGGCTGGGTCCCGGTAAGGACCGGTGGGGTCCTGGTAAGGGCCGGCGGGGTCCCGGTAAGGACTGGTGGGGGTCCCGGTAAGGGCCGGCGGGGTCCCGGTAGGGACAGGTGGAGGTCCCGGTAAGGGCCGGCGGGGTCCCGGTAGGGACAGGTGGAGGTCCCGGTAGGGACCGGTGGGGGTCCCGGTAAGGACCGGTGGGGGTCCCGGTAAGGAGGGCCGGCGGGGGTGCCGGAAAGGACCGGCGCGGTCCCGATAGGGACCGGCGGGGTCCCGGTAGTGGTCCCGGTAAGGACCGGTGGGGGTCCCGGTAAGGGTCGGCGGGGTCCCGGTAAGGACCGGCGGGGCCCCGGTAGGGAGGGCAGGCGGGGTGCCGGTAAGGACTGGTAGGGGTCCCGGTAAGGAGGGCCGGAGGGGGTCCTGGTAAGGGCCCGCGGGGTCCCGGTACAGAGGGCGGGCGGGGTGCCGGTAAGGACCGGCGGGGTCCCGGTAAGGAGGCCGAGCGGGGTGCCGGTGTGCTCTCGCAGCCCCGGGAGTCCCCCCAGCCGCCGCCCCGGGCTCGCAGCCCGCGGGGCCGCCCCCGGCCCGCCCCCGGCCGGCCCTACATAGCGGCGGTGGCGGCGCGGCCTGGCCCGGCCCCGCTCCGCCATGGCCCCGGCGCTGCGGCTCTGCGCCCTGGCCCTGGCCCTGCTGCCCGCCGCCGTGGCCGCGCAGGACGCGGCCGGAGGTAAGCGCTGACCGGGCCCGGCACCCCAAAATCCCGGCCGGGCGGCTGCTTTGGGCCCCGTTCCCGTGCGGGGTGCGGTGTGGGGTGCGGGTGGCCACCGGGCAGGGGGCTGTGGGGCGGGGGAGGCCGGGTCCCCGCTGGAGCCCCTCCGGTGCAGCCCGGTGTGTCCCTCGGAGCTCGGGGAAGTTGAGAGGGCGCTGGAAGCGGAGCTGTGCTCGCCGCTTTTCCGGCTTCAATGCAATGGAACTTCCATGCCCAGGGGAGCTGTGGCCGCCCCATCCCTGGAAGTGTCCCAGGCCAGGTTGGACGGGGCTTGGAGCAGCCTGGGCTGGTGGAAGGTGTCCCTGCCCATGGCGGGGGGCTGGGACAAGATGGGCTTAAAGCCCTTCCTACCCAAACCATTCTAGGGTTCAATGATTTAGTGATGATAACAGCTCAGGTGAGAGAGCTGCTTACCTTCCCTGAGCAGGGGACAGTCTCTGGGCTGCCAGGCTCCTGCTGATGGCCCTGTGGAAGGTGGGGGAGGATGGCTGGGGCAGCCTCAGACCGGGAAGAAGATGGGTGGGGAGCAGCGGGTGTTCAGCTGCTCCTTCTTAGTGGCTGGGGGACGGAGTATAGTCCCCTGAGGTGCTGCACCAGGTGGAGAAGAAGCTGCAGCAAAGGGAGGGGATGACTGTCTTCAGAGTGTCCTAAGAATTCTGCCCCCTCTTCCAAGCCGGGAATTGTTCTCCATTCACTTCATTCCTCCTGTAGCCAGCTGTAAAAGCATTACCCAGGTGGCTTCTAGCCCAGCAAGAGCTGCTGTCCTGTCTCTGTCCCCGAGGAGTGCAGTGCTTCCTGTGCCGTGCCATGTGAGCTGTCTGGTCACCTGAGATGGGACATTTGGACAAACCAAATCCTGAAGGGCTGTGGTGTCCTCGAAGCAGCCCATTCCCAAACAGCCATAAGTGGATGCCTTTGACTTAATGACTTGGAGGATGAGCCCCAGCTAGGGATGCCAGGAGAGGGGGTACCCAGGGGGAAAGCAAAGCCCAGTTAAAACCACAGGTTCTACTTTTTGCCCACCACTGGCCTCCTGTGGTGTGGGAGGGTGTTTTGTGACTCCTGATAAACAGTCCTGGAGCAGCAGAGAGCTGCTGTGTTTTTCCGGCCTCAGTTGAAGAAATGGGGAAGATGCAGCTTCAGAGTGTTTAAAATCTGCAATCTCAGCCTCTCTGGTGTGTAAACACCCTTATCTGAGCTATGTTAATCAATTGCCCAGTTGTTTGGAAGGCTATACAGAGCATGTGACTGCTGACAGTGGGTCATAGCTGAGGGTTCCTGCCAGCTGGAGGGAGAAAATCCAGCTTTGATGATTGTGAGAGTGGAAAACAAGCACCTCTGGGACTGATTTTTTCCTGACTACGACACTGCAAAGCAATGATCCTTCATCCAGCAGTGAGTGGTCAGGCAAATTGATTTGAGTTTTCCTTTTAAACCACTGTCAAACAGGCTGCTACTTAGACTCTTAAGCAGGAGTCAGTTTTAAATGGCTCATTCTTGAGGGCTTGGCAAACCACCCTTCTTGCAGATCACCAATGAATTGCAGGTGAGTATCCTGTAGGAAGACTTTCCAGGAGCACTGCTGGGAGCTGTGGCTAATCTCAGAATGGGGGCTGGACTGGGCCAGCTTGTCCTGTGTTCAGGTTCAGACTTTATCCATTCCCCTACCCAGCTGGATGCATCCCATGAGGATGCCTTCATCCATGGGGGCTCTGGGCCTGAGAGGCACCTGTGTCTGTAGAACCGGGGTCTTCCTCTGCCAGATGGGGGTGGAAACAGGTTTTGACCATGAGCACAGATTTTTTGGCTGCAGTGCTGCTCCCATTGCCTGGACTGTGTCTTGCTGAAGGAAGATTTGGATGAACTGGCTGGGGCAGGGTACGGCCCTCATGTGCAGCAGGAGGCCTCCTGCAGGATCTGTAGCTCTGTGTATCCCTGTGTGTTCCTCTGCTTCTCCTGGTAGCAGCTTCTGTGTCTGGAGCTTGTTTGCTTGAGCTGCTCCATCATCTGGTGCTACAGGACTGGGTCACCTACCCACTGCTTGCCCTCATCCTCACAGGGTCCCTCCAGACCAACTCCAGCTGTGTCCCCTGGCTGCCTGCTGCCATAGTACATGCTCAGGCTTTTAGGGAAATAAAACCCAAGAGAGGAACTCACAGCTTAGGGCTTTGTCAGCAGAGCAAGGCAGATGAACTTGCAGTAGCATTTGGGCCTCCCACCATGACACGGAGCACATGCTGAAGCTGCTGGCTCTTGCAGCAGCAGCATGCACTGCCGCTGGCCCAGTGGTGGGTAGGAGCAGGCTTGGAGGGGCCCAGAGTTTTAAACCACTGATGCTCTTCAAAGTCCTGAGGTGTCTTTTTTTCTTCCTGCAGATTGTCGCCAATATACGAACAGGAGCTGTGAAGAATGCCTGAAAAATGTCACTGTGAGTAGCAGCAGTGAGACTCCCAACCTCTCACCGTGCCTGAAAAAGTTTCCTTCCTGGAAGCAGGGCTGGTCCCCTGCCTTTGTCCCAGACATGCTGCAAATTCCACCCACCTATGAGGGTGAGAGGGCAATCCCTCTCTGGTGCTCTGGAAGGAGGTTGCTAGAAACTGGGAGGGTTTTGTTGTGTGCTTTTTGATTAATGGAATTGCTGAGCTGCTTCCTGGTGGATGGGTGATGTGCTTGGGGAAGGGACTGAGTGGGCTGGGCTGGCTGGGCGAGTTCCCCTCCACCAGCTGTGCCACGGCACTGGGTGGGTGCAGGATGTGTCCTGGTGTCCTGCCAGTCCCCGCTGCCTTATCGCAGATATCAGCAAACTTGAACTTGAGTCAGATCTTGCAGCTGATGTAGCCAGAACCAGTCTGACCAAACCCTACTGAATGCTGGGGTTGGAGCCACCAGGAGAGGACGTGCAAAGCTTTGCAGATGCTCTGGTAGTGGCTGGGCACATGCACACCTCTCCTGCTCATCAGTTTTGTGTGTGTAGAGTGCTTGGTCCCAAAGGCTTTCTTCTTATCCCAAAAATAAACATAAAGGAGTTGTCTTATTAATTGTGCAAGCCATGGTGGGATTCTTAAGGCTGTCCTTAAGAACAGGGCAGGACCAGTAATCCTTTTGATTTCCTTCCAGCTCCGGATACTGTACGATTCTAAGCCAGGAGAAGGATTCTCAGCATCTTTACTTGCTCTAGAACTCTGCACTCCCCCCTCCTGCCTCTGCTGGTGTGATCTGTGCTGGCACAGCTCTTACTCCTGAGCACCCTGTTGTGCTGGGTGATATCTGGTTCTCGTGAGCCAGCAGAGGTGGCCCTGTGCTGTGGCTGCCAAAGCAAAGCGTGGGTCACTGGCAGTGCCCCAGTAACGCTGTGCTGCCTGGTTCTGTGTTCTAGTGCCTGTGGTGTGCCAGCAGCAGGAGGTGCATGGAGTACCCCGTCCGAAGGATCCTCCCCCCAGCCGAGCTGTGCGAGCTCCGCTCCGCGCGCTGGGGAGTCTGCTGGGGTAAGTGCCAGCCTGGGCTGGGGACTGTGTGAGTGCTTGCTGCTGTGGGAGGCTCCCCTGCCTCCCCATCTCTCTGCCAGTGTAGCAGTGACAGGCTGAAGGCAGTCAAGGTTCTGCAAACTCCCTGCAGTGTGGGCGGGGAAGCAGAGTATGAGCAGTTCCCTGCCTTCTGGCAAGTAGGACCCGTGAGGATTTAGCTACTCCAAAATACCTCCCTTATGCTTTGGTGTGATGGAGGCTCCAGACGTGGCTAGCGCCTGGGAACAGGAGTGGAGTGTTCTCTGTGGGCCTGTGCAGCCCTTCCTGGTGTCTAAATCCCAGAAGATCTCTCCTCTGCAGCTGGCTTGTCACTCTGTGCACCGCTTCTGGCTCTACGTGTGGCTGCTGTCCCAGGTGGGCTCCTGGAACCAGAGGTGTGGTGACTTCTCTGGGAACCCGTGTGTGCTTCTAGAGCTGAGTGTACTGTGGTCCTGCTCAGCTCTTACCCACCTGAGAAAAAAACTCTTCTAAAACTACTCCTGTATGTGCAGGTCTCCTCTAGGAGCTTTTTCTGATGGACAGCTGCCTCTCCTCCCTGCTGCTCTGTTTTCTGAAGGATTTCTGGAGAGATTGGTGCCTTGTTTAGACTGAGCTTAGTGCATGTTCATGCTCAGACAGGAGCCAGCTTTTGGGGGCTGGAGCAGGAAGAAAGCAAGCTGGGGCCTGGTTGCTCTCACCCACCCCCTTGATGAGGAGCCTGGCGCTGAATTGCTGTTGCCTGTCCATCTTTTGTGCTCGAGGCTGGGCTCTCCTGTCTGCCCACAAAAGTTCAAACTGCTCTTATGCTTGTGGAGGAAGAATCTCCTCTTTGTAAGCCCTGTGGTATGCTTTTCTGAAACTTCTGTAAGGCCTTGAAATACTAGTTTAGATGTGAGTAGCTTCACAAAAGGTTTCATTATAGAAGAACACATTCCTTAGCTTGTGAAAGTTGCTATAGAGGAGATTAGTCCTGTGAGAGATTAGCTCTTACGTGAGTGTGCATTTTTGGTGTGTGACTTAGCCTCTGTCATCAGCTGGAGGAGTGCCTGGTGCTCTGCTACAGACCTCTCTGTGTGGGAAGGGGAGAGCTGAACCCCAGGCTCATCCTGAAACCCCAAAAGGGTTTCAGAAGCACTGACACTGCTGCAGTCTTTGAAAACAATTTCAGTGGTGGAGTCAGCTCAGGCTGGAGTACCTAAAAGAGGATCTATTTAGAACAGATAAAAGGAAGAATTCTCTTACAATGAAGGTGATGAGGCACTGGCACAGGTTGCCCAGAGGGACAGTGAATGCCCTATTCCTGGAAACATTCAAGGTCAGGTTGGATAGGACTGTGAGCAGCCTGTTCTGGTGAAAGATGTCCTTGCCCATGGCAGGGAGTTGGACTAAATGACCTTCAAAAGTGCTCTGAGCAGGTTCAGGTGCACTGAGATTTCTGTAGCCTGGCTATTGTGTGCAAAGTGGCTCCTAAACAAATATTTTCACAGGCACAAGTTTCTGAACAGCCTGAATCACACCTGGAAGAAATTCCTCTTTGTTGCCACCTGAAATCCTTGCCATCTAGATGTGTCAGTTTTGGCTGGTGTCTCTACTGCCGTTCCTGCAGGAGCTGAGTAGGATGAGCAGGGACCAGGGCTCACGGCTGCTGCCTCACCATGTTCCAGCAGGTTTTGTTCAGATCCCCCAGCCCTGGGGAGACATGGCAGTCAGGTGCAGGAAGCAGGACTTGGCCTTCAGCAGCACTCCTGGCCCCAGGCTGATCAATCCAAACGGATTTTGTTTCAGTTTATCTCTCACCCAGGGACTTCAGAAATGACACCTCTAAGTGCTCATCTCATCAGAGATGACTTCTGAGGCTGGCTCCCATGGACAGTAATTCCTCCCTGTCAGAAATTGTCCCTTAACCCTGAAACCTTCAGTTGTTGTTTTTTTCCCTTGATGGTTACTTTTTACCTGGATTAGTGATTAAGATAGCTTTGCTCCTGTTTCTGCCAGAGGAGTTTGACCTGAGTGCATTTGTCCTTGCCTTTCTTCATAGCCAGTAGCTGAGCACTCCTGTTAGCAGGTACATGTGCTCAGCTGGTGTTTATTTGTGGGTACCAGCACCAGGTGTATCTGCAGCTAACAATGTCCATTTGCTTTCCCAGGTGGTTGCACATCTCCAGCCCAGTGACTGAAGCTGCTGGTGACGGTAGCTGTATGTTCATAAACAGGACAAGAGAAAATGACTGTAGGATAAGAGGAAATGGCCTCGGGTGCACCAGGGGAGGTTTAGGTTGGATATTAAGAAAAAGATTCTTTACTCAGAGGGAGTCAGACAGTGGAACAGGCTGCCCAGGGCAGTGATAGAGTTGCCATCCCTGGAAGCATTCAAAAAACATAGAACTGTTGCACTTGAGGACATGGTTTACTGGAAGACCTTGGAGTGCTGCAGGAACAGTTGGACTTGATGATCCTTGAGTGCTTTCCCAACATTAATGATTCTGTGATCTTATGATCCGATATTGTAACTCCAGGCAGCTGTGTCTGTGTGTGCTAAACACATTTTTATCAAATCCTTCAGTGAACTTTGAAGCCCTGATCATTGCAATGTCCGTGGTGGGAGGAACACTTCTGATCATGTTGGGGGTCTGCTGCTGCTGCTGCTGTTGTAAGAAAAAGAGCAAAAAGCAAGTATCAAGGGAGTCCCCTGATTAAGGAACAGCTCAGATGCAGCCATGTGCTGCTGCAGAGCTGATGCTGAGTGCACTAAGGGGATTTTCTCTCTACCAGGCCAGACAAGGATGACGAGAGAGCAGCCAGGGAGCGGGAGAAGAGGCGGGTGAGGCAGGAGGAGAGGTGAGTTGGTACCACAGGCCCTGAGGCTGCAGAATGATTTGGCTCCTGTCTGTGCCATCAGAGGTGATGCCAGGAGGCACATGGGGCTCAACACATGCAGTCAGTGGCTGCTTCAGCCCTAGTTCACACACAAGCCTTATTAGGAATGTCATGTTGGGGTGACTTGTGGATGTAGCATCACAACTATTGTGTATGCAGCTCCCCGAGGGCTACTGACGTGTGGGCTCTGGTGGTCCCCAGAGTCTCCCTCAGGTGGGAGGCTGAGCAAAGCTGCCAGCCTGGAGCTCCCTTGGTTGGGAATAAGCAAGGAGCTCTGGCTCTTCTTGTTCCCTTTTGTATCACCAGTTACTGACTCATGGCTTTTCTGTTTGCCTCTCGCAGGAGAGCAGAGATGAAATCACGGCATGATGAAATCCGAAGAAAATACGGTACAGTGCTGACATGAGTGATTCAAACTAAGCTTTAGATGAAGCATTCTCTGTAACTGTGCTCCTTGCCATGGTTACAGCTGTAGATGAGACCTGGCCAGCAGGGAAAACATGGTCCTGCTCTCTTGGCTCAGAGCAAGTGTAGAGATGCTGGAGTCATGGTGTGTGAGCCCACGCAAGGGTTATTTTTCCTGGGCAGCAAAGAGGAAGTGTATAATGTTCCCCAGAATGTGTCCTCCAAGCTTGCCATCTGGGAGAAGCTGATGAAGCTTGACTGGCGGGGAGAAGCAGAAGCTGGCAGACACAGCACCATCATAACGCTGTTACCCTTCAGGCACAGCCCTCCAGTAGCCCTGTGGTGAGCAAGTGGTTGGGGAGCCAGCAGCCTGGAGTGTGGGGCCAGGTAGGAATAAGAATGCCCACAGCTGCAGGAGCACAGAGCAGGCACCAATCCCACCCCAGTCCCTCTGGTCCTCTGTACCAGCAGTGGTGTCTCAGTCTTCTGGGGATGGGAGTGCACAGCCTCCCTCCAGGGGCTGGATGGTCCCTCAGGTGAGTCCCATGGACCTGGGCCAGCTCTGGACCCACCTGAGGAGAACATCAGCCTAGAAGGAAGCAGGGAACAGCCAGTTGCTCTGTGCAGGGGAGGGTCCCTCCAGCCTGCTCATTGGGGCTGCCAGGGGCTCTGGCAGTGTCTGGCTGTGGGGCAGTTGGGCTTATGCATGCCGCACTTGGTGGTCTCTGGCTTTGAGGGGGCTGTAGAGAAAGCTAGAGACCTTTCTTCAGCTATCAGCTGCTGCCTGCTGCAGTCCAGGTTTGGCAGGAGATCCCAGGGCCTCTGGATGGGCTGGCTCCTTTGGGGAAGAAAGAGTAGGCAAAGCTGTGCCTGAAGGAGCTCTTGGTGGAGAAAGCACCTGCCTGTGGAAGAGCTGTTCTCTGGGCCTGTCTTACCATGTCAGGGCTGCCTTGCTGCAGCCTGACCCCAGAGTTTGCAATCTTGTCCTTTGTGGCTGTTCTTCAGAAGTGTTGAGCTGGGAAAGCAGCAAACAGCATGGCATGTGGCTCCTTGCTAGCCCAAAAATCAGCCCCATACCCTGCCTTGCTGTTTCCCAGTCTTGATGCCGGAGCAGGGAAGCAAGTCTAAGAACAGTTTTAATTTGATTTGGGTCTGGGCTCTCTGCTTGTAAGTCCACTCTGTCAGAAGGGGTGTGTCGAGGGAGCACTCTGGAATCTTAGGCAGGCTGCTTTACCTGAGCTGTACATGGACTGCCTGGGAGAGGAGTTTGCCATCAGGTCAAGCTTTTCAATGGATGTCTCCTCTTGTGCAGAAGGGGAGAGTGAAACAGCGCTGACTGTGGGCTCTGCTCAAGTAAGAGCAGGTGTTTTGGGAGAACTGCAGCTGGGAAGCTTGAGGATGCTTAAATGACAAAGAATTGCTTCCCAGGACAGGTTTCTTGCTGGCTGTGACCCCTGTGGGTGATGCTGTCTGAACAAATCTCTCCTTTCTTCTAGGCCTGTTCAAGGAAGAGAACCCTTATGCAAAATTTGAGAATTAGCATCTCCAGACACTCCCACCCACCCTGGTGAATGGTGTCTTTTGCAGAGCCAAAAGTCTCCAGGCTTCCCCCCACCACCATAGTGCCACTTCAGCTGCCACAGAGGATGACCCAAATGCTTGGTGACACCATTGTCCCCACTCCAGGTGCTTGATGTGGCTAGGGCTTTGCTCTTGCCCTGCTGGTGCAGGAAACTGTGGGGCAATACTGAAGGATGGAGCATTTCTTCTCACTCACCTCAGGGTGGTTGTGGTATCCAAAGCAATGCATGTAACAGTCCTTGTCCCAGCCAAGGGCAAAAACAAAGTCACACATCTCCCTCACTCCTGCCTCACCAAGAACACTTCATGCACATAGAGCTAGGCTCTTCTGCTCTGCCCTCCTTTTTCTTTCTTTTAGTATATGCAAAAGCCAGCAAGAGTCTCCTGGCATAAGGGTCAGCAGGAGGCTTTGGCTGTCACTCCAGGTGCCTGCACTCATCCCAGCACATTAGCAGTCCTCTCAAAGAGCACAAGTTTCTGGTGATCTGGTGCTTCCAGGAGGAAGGTCTTATGTGCACCTTCTCACTTGCAACTAATCTGGGGAAATGCCCCAGCTCTCCTACCTCTCTGTGCCTTTCTAGAAAGGTGGTCTTGGGCTCAATGGCCACATCTGTTAGCAATACTGTAAGTTTCAAGTGCATTTACAATATGCTGACTGTATATTAAACTGATTCAATTACTGTTCTGGTCTGAAAGAGTTTAATTCTGCTTCCATGGCAGGCACAGGTTGGGAGTAGTGGCTGATGGAGTTGTCGCTGTTGTGTGGCTCTGACTCGTTGTGGGCAGCCGGGGAGGCAGAAGCAAAGCTGCCTCGGGCTCTTGCTGGGCTTGGAAGTGCGAGGACGCTGGACTCCAGGACAGTTTGGATGGATGGAGATGAGAGATCTCTGAAGGCTGCTCTTAGAATATCTGGTTTATTAGAGAGGGTGGAAGGCCCTGCTTGGAGTCGCCAGAAGTGACACGTGGAAGGCCTTAGGGAGTGGGGGAAGGGAGAGGCAACGGGTAAAGGAAGATAAGAGAGGATCCCAAGAGGGAGGGGAAGTTCCAAGAGAGCATCTGGCTCCTCAGGGACTCCTTATCAGGGGGCTTCAAGGTGGGCTGGAACAAGACTTGGGCCAATGGGGTCACAGATGCTTCAGGGGAGGGGTACAGATGTGGGATGAACCACACATTGGGGTGAGATTGAACAGTCCATTTGACCTTTGGAGTGATCTGTAGGTAAGGGCATTGTTCAACCAGAAAGAGGGGATTGTCTTCATCCTGGCTGTACTATTGTTTTCTAGTTGTTCAGTAACTAAGGTTGGTATCTCAAAGCTTGTTACCATTTCAACCTCTGTATTTTCTAAATCTTTTGCCAGGCAATCATATTTATAATGGTTTCCTATTTCATCCTCCCTAACAGAAAGGAGGAGTCTGTTCCCAGAGATGTTCAGGTGTTAGGAAGAGCTTGGGATGGAAGTAAGGCTGCTCTCTAAGGAAGGAACTGGGTGTTCTGGCAAGAGTGTGGCCTTTTGTGCCCTGGCATCTCTAGGAGAGAGGTCCTGTGTATGTGGGGTGGCCTGGGGGCTCGGGGCGCAGCCCGAGCAGGGTGAGGGAGCTGGGCTGGAAGGAGGATGGAGCTGCCTGCTCCGGTGCCTGCCCAGGACTGGCCATGCAGCACCCCCAGCCCCGTGGGCAGGCTGGGCAGGAGCGGGAGGGCCTGGCCTGAGGAAAGCTGCCCGTGGCCTCCTGCCGGGGGAATGCCACGGGCTGGGATGGAACTGTCCCTGTGCACGGCCGGGCTCGGGGAGCTCAGCACCAGCTGCTCCAGCCGCGCTCGGAGCTCGGGCCGGGAGCCCCGGCTGCTGCCAGTGCCCCACGGGCAGCACTGCGGGTCACTTGTCACCCCGGCTGCTGCCAGCGCCCCACGGGCAGCACTGCGGGTCACTTGTCACCCCGGCTGTCCCGGCTGCTGCCAGCGCCCCACGGGCAGCACTGCGGGTCACTTGTCACCCCGGCTGTCCCGGCTGCTGCAGCAGAGCGGCCTGGGAGGAACAGGGGCACTGACCCTGCCCAGCTCTCGGTGGCTGCTCTCCCACCTTCTGTGCCCGGCGGCTGCGCTGGCCGGGCCGGGGCTGCGCTCGCTGCTGCCGGGCAGGAGCCGAGGGGGTGCGAGAGCGGCGGGTCCGGGTGTGGGCGCAGGGAGGTGAGGATTCCCAGAGATCCCCGTTTGGCCGGAATCTCCCTGTGCGTGGAAGATGAACTGTGGAGCCCAGTAAAGAGAAGGGAACGTGCTGACAGGGATCCTGGTTGTGCCAGCCCCAAGGGCCCGTGGTGCCTCTGCCAGCCAAAGCTGTGGGGGCTTTGTTTGAGAGCCAGCGATGTCCAGGGACAGCTGGTGCTAAAGCCTTTTGAGCTGCCTTTCCCCTGCTGGGCTGCACCAGGCTCCAGCCCCCCTCCTGCCCTGGGACTGGGACCAGTAAATTCATTTGGGTTCCCTGAGTGCTCCCACTGGCCCTGCTCCCAGCACTAAGGGGTGATGTCTCCAAACCTATCAGGGATGGGGGGCTCCTGCAAGCAAGCTCCTCTTCCTCAAACCCCACTTGTGACTGGCTCTGTCCTCCTATGCTGAGCCAGGGCAGCAGAGAGACCTGCTGGGAGCCGGGATGGGTGGTGGATGGAATGTGGCCATGCCCTGGGGACAAGCAGAGGCCATGCCATACTGCCAGTGTCCCCAGACAGAGGCACTGTGTCCTCTGCTCTTATCCTGGGCTTGTCCTGGGCCCCAGCATCCTCATCCTAAGGGCTGCCTCCCATAGCCTGGGATGGAGCTACTCCTGATGTTTCTAATTCCTCCTGTGAATGTTGCTGTGTGCAGGGATCATGTGGCTGATGCACTGAAAAGCTGGTGAACCCTTTGGCTTGGCTGGGCCATGGTGGGGAGGGGAAGCTGTGTCCTTAGGTGGCCAAGGTGCCAGCTCAGGTCTGGCAAGAAGCATCTGCAGTGTAACTGGGAGTGGACCCTGGCAGCTAAAAAGACATTTCATGAGGATTAACTGGTCTTTTTCAAGGCCGCCACGATGGAAAGCTGTCCTGACGGGGATGGGGAAGCAGACAGTGATGGGGACACCAGAGCTGAGGAGTGGGACAGTGCCCCACCACCTGCCATGGGTACTAGGAGGATGCACAGGGGAACTTGGAAAGAAGGGATTAATGAGATGGAACAGGGAACTTGTCTTTGAGCCAAAGGAGAGTTCTGCAGCCTGGCACATAAAGAACACAAAAAGCTGGCACTAGGCCAATTCCAACCATGTGATAGGAAAGGTGGGACGAACAGCCAACACTGTGAGAGGTGAAATCCCAGGGGCAGACGGAGCCGTGAGCACAGGCTGCCCAGCTGCAGGTGGGTAACTGTGCTGGGGTGGCCTGCTGTCATCACAGCCTCTTCCACTCCTTCCAGTCACAGCAGGGCTCTGGTGGCAGCAGCAGCAGGGCCCTGGAGGTGCCCTGGCGCTGGAGAGTCTCTGCCAAACAACCTCAGTTCCTTTGCCAATGGCACATAATTATTCCTACACGTGGTGTCAGTGTGTAGTGCTACAGTGGTATTTTCAGCAGGAAAATACCAGGTATATTGCAGGAAAAGTGGTGGAAGAGGCAAAAGATTCAAAAGATCCTCTGCTGTATTCCAGAGCTGCTGTATCTGAAGGGAAAAATGCTCACTGGGGCTGATAAATGATCACCCAGACATTCCTCACGAATTTGGAGAAAGCAGGAGCCTTGGGGGAAGTAGAGCTCTTTTGCAAATAAGCTCTGCCGTGTGAGGAGGTGATTTTAACTGTTGTTCCCGGTTGTTAAGTAGAGGATGTTGAGCAGCAGCATGAAGCGGTGATAGAGGCTGATCATCAGCAGTGTAGCCCAGGTGTCAGTACTGGGACCAGTCCTCTTCCTTCTTGATAGTGGCCTGATTAATGGGGCCCAGGGCACCCTCAGCAAGTTGGCTGAATTTCCTGCGGTGGGAGGAACTGCTGAGACACCAGAAAAGGACCAAAAGTACCACATCAAGCTGGAGAAATGGGCTGATGGAACCTCCTGAAATTCAACCAAGGGCCGAGCAGTCCTCCCCCTGGGGAGGTGCAGCCCCAGGACACGCCATGGGAAGCAGCTCTGCAGAGCAGGTCCTCTGCAGGTCCTGGTGGTGGGACTGGCACAGCCCCACCCCAGCAGGGACCGCCTGGAAGGGACCTGGGTGAACACTGAGGTGCGCAGGCCACTGCCAGGTGGGCTTTGTGCCACAGGATCCATCTCTGTGGATGGGGGAGCTCCTGGGCGTGTCCCGCAGGGCCCTGTGATGTCACCCCTCGGTCACTGTGACACCACTTGGGTAACTATAACCACCAACGTTGGGCAGAACCAGAGCACTCAGGCTGTGACTCACTGGCAGCCGAGGAGCTTCCGAGTGCGGCCACTGTCCGAGGAGCCTCTGTGCTGGCAGAGTCTGAGGATCTTCCGAGAGCTGCCAGGGACCGAAGAACCTGAGTGCTGCCACTGACTGAGGAGCCTCCGAGTCCCACCAGGGACTGAGGAGGAATCTCCAAGCCCACAAGTGGCAGCCAAGGCTTCGAGTGCTGCCAGCAGCCGAGAGGAGCCAGGTCCGGGAGCAGCGATGGCGGAGGTCGGGCGAGAGGCAGCAGCGCCAGGAGCCGTCCGGGTGTGCCACATCTGCGTGGATTTCCTGCGGAGCCCCGCTGCTGCCGTGGAGCCCTGCGGGCACGTGTTCTGCCACGCCTGCATCCAGCCCCAGGCCGGCCCCGACGCCGCTGCCACCTGCCCCATCTGCCAAGGGCCCATCGGGGCCATCCGCCTGCTGCCGGGGCTGGACAACCGTGCCGGGCTGGCCCCACGGCGGCCCCGCCGCCTCCATCCCTTCGTGCTGCGGTGGCGGCAGCGGCAGCAGCGGGAGGCGCAGGAGGATGCGGCTCCTGGAGGCGGCCGGCGCCGAAGACTCGCCGATGGGGACCGGGCACCGAGCCCTGTGCCCCGCCAGCGGCCCCGGAGAGAGCTGGAGGATCTGCGGAGAAACGGGCTGGGACTGCGGCCGCCGTGGTTGGATGAGGCGCTGCCCGCAGGGGACAACCAGCACCGCCCGCCCGTCATCTTCATTTGATGCGGATCCTCCGTGGCCCCTCGGAACTGAAATCCAGGCTGCTGAGAAGGGCCTCGGCTGCTTTCTTCGGCCATTTGTACATAGCTTCGAGACTGGGGGAGTGGGAGCTGTGGGAGGGAAAGCATATAGTTGTAGAAACTTTGGAAGAGGGTAGGATAGTGATATTAGGACAGTAGTTGTAAAATAAACTTTTTTGTTCATTTGAAGCATTAGAAAGCAGACATTCTTTATCAGCGTCAGACCCACGGAAGAGTGTCTCCTTGAATCTGATGTGTGTGGTGAAAGTTCACAACAGGGTATTTATTCCATCCTGAATATAGAGATTCATTACAATGCACCTCCTATCTAATGCACAAACCCCACTTTCCTAGAACTAATTTGCCTGCATTTGCCTTCTACTGGAAGTCCTTTTTTAGTCCCGGATTTCATCTACAGGGGTATCTGGTGGGTATATTCACTGAATGCTTCCATAATACAGGTGATCTTTCTTTGAACTTTTTCTTTGGGCATGTACCATTGCTTTTTGTTACGTATCTTGCAAAAAAACCCGCTGTAGTCTTACGAGCAGAGCTGCACTCACGGTAGAAGAAAGGCAGCAGAAGGCAGAGCCCCGCAGTGGTGACAAATTCTCCCCACAGCGGCCGCAGCCTCTCTCCCCTCCGAATGTCGAGAGCACGAGAGGCTGAACCCAACGCCGTTTTCCCAATCCAAAGCTCGAGGTATCTCTGCCCTCCACGGAAAACCTCAGGTAAAGCCAGAGTAGCTGCACCGCTCCCCTGAGCTGGCAACTTCTTTCTCCTCTCTGAAGTATCAGTCATTACCATGTCCTAGCAACACATACTGGGGACAATTCCTAAAGAGAAAAACAAACCCAGCTCCTGAGACCCCAGCAGAGGCCATTCCTGCTTCTGTGCCACTTTGCTCGTCTCTGTGGGGGCAGAACCGGGAAAAGAAATGGAAAAGGGAAAATCCTTTAAGACTTTTACCATATTCTGAAGGGACCTGTATGTATTTTCCTCAGGGCTGTCCCGGTGCTGTCCCGGTTCTGTCCCGGTGCTGTCCCGGTGCTGTCCCGGTGCTGTCTCGGTTCTGTCCCGGTGCTGTCCCGGTGCTGTCCCGGCGCTGTCCCGGCTGTCCCAGGCTGTCCCGGTGCTGTCCCGGTGCTGTCCCGGTTCTGTCCCGGTACTGTCCCGGTACAGTCCCGGTGCTGTCCCGGTGCTGTCCCGGTGCAGTCCCAGGGCTGTCCCGGTGCTGTCCCGGTGCAGTCCCGGTGCTGTCCCGGTGCTGTCCCGGTGCTGTCCCGGTGCAGTCCCGGTGTTGTCCCGGTGCAGTCCCGGTGCAGTCCCGGTGCAGTCCCGGTGCAGTCCCGGTGCTGTCCCGGCGTTGTCCCGGTGCTGTCCCGGCTGTCCCGGTGCTGTCCCGGGGCTGTCCCGGGGCTGTCCCGGTTCTGTCCCGGCTGTCCCGGTTCTGTCCCGGTGCTGTCCCGGTGCTGTCCCGGTGCTGTCCCGGTGCTGTCCCGGTGCTGTCCCGGTTCTGTCCCGGCTGTCCCGGTGCTGTCCCGGTGCTGTCCCGGTGCTGTCCCGGTGCAGTCCCGGTTCTGTCCCGGCTGTCCCGGTGCTGTCCCGTTGCTGTCCCGGTGCTGTCCCGGTGCTGTCCCGGTGCTGTCCCGGTGCTGTCCCGGGGCTGTCCCGGCGCTCCCCTCAGGCCGCTCCTCGCGCCGCAGCACAGCGCCCCCGTGCGGCTCAGCCGGACGCGCCGCTCGCGGCCCCGCCCCGCCCTTGCCCGCTGCCCTCAGGCCCCGCTCAGCCCCCCCCGCTGCCGCCCCGCCATGGCGGAGGAGAAGCCCCGGGTGAGGCGGGGAGAGGAGCGGGAGGAGCGGGCACAGGGAGGCAGCGGCCGGCACCGAGGGAGCGACGAGCGGCCGCCCCTCCTCGCCCCACGGCCCCGCCGAGGTGTCCCGGCCGGGGGCAGCGGGGGCGGCCGAGGAGCCGCGGGATGCGGCGGGCGGGGCCCGGCCCGAGCGGGGCTCGCCCGGCCGGGCTCTGAGCCCGCCGCATTTTTCCATCCAGGAAGGTGTGAAAACGGAGAACGAGCACATCAGCCTGAAAGTTTCCGGGCAGGATGGCTCCGTGGTGCATTTCAGAATAAAGCGGCACACTCCGCTGAGCAAGCTCATGAGGGCGTACTGCTGCCGGCAGGTAGGCGCGGGCACGGCCCGGGGGCTCCTGCGGCCCCGGGGGGCTCCTGCCACCGACCCAAAGCGTCGCCGTGCTGGTGAAACCCTCGCTGCTTCTCTGCCTGGATGGTGGAACATGTTTGTGGGCAGGCTGAGGGTATCCAGGTGTGTGGGACACTGAGGAGCTGGGATGCTGGCAGCTTCTCGGTGCAGAGCTCTTGTCGAAAGGAGCTGCCTCTTCGTCCTCAGGTGCTCCCTAATACCTTGTGACAGAGTTACAAAAATTCCTCCATTTCCGATCCTTTCTCTGAGACAATGCACTAATCCTCAGTCCTGTCACCTCCAAAAGCTTCATAAACTTTGAGTTAATTTTCAGTTTGGAAAACGGCACAAAATAAATTCTTCTGTGCCACAGCTTCCTCATGGGTTTTTTCCTCCTCCCTCCTTCCCCTGTGAATCCTGCTGCCTATTGCACTGTTGTGACCTGTGTTCCACAGGTGTCACAGGCTGTTCCTCAGTGCCATCCTGAACAGAACAGAAGGATGAATCCCCACAGCTCAGCTCCTGAGCCTGGAGCTCCCAGTTTTACACAGAGCAGAGAGTGGGCATGTGAATGGCTTTGGAAATGGAGTCAGATTTTGTTTGCCCTTATCTGTTACTTGCAGGATCCTTTCTTTGCTTATTCAATCTTTACACTCTGCCCTGTTCTGTGCCTGCTGCACCCTGACACATCTCTGGGTTTTTGGAGAGGTACAGGGAGTTTTAGCATTCCTGTGTGTGACAGAAGTGTGAATCACATGGGTTTTAGAGGGCAGAGCAATGTCCTCAATCCCTGATGCAGGGATTAAGGCCTTCCTCATGTGATTAAACATTGTCAGAACAGGATTCAGTAGTATGGTAAATCAGGTTTTAAGGGCAGTGTAAAGTTAGCAGCATTTGACCTTCCTCAGTGTAGACAGCAAGACAAATATGCTCAAGTGTCCTGGTGGTTAAATCTTAAATCAGAGAATCACGGAATGCTTTGGACTTAAAAGGGAATTTCAAGCCCATCCAGTCCTACCCCCTGCCATGGGGACACCTTCCACTATCCCAGGTTGCCCCAAGCCCCATCCAGCCTGGCCTTGGACACTTGCAGGGATGGGGCAGCCACAGCTTCTCTGGGCAACCTGTGCCAGGGCCTCCCCACCCTCACAGGGGAGAATTTCTTCCTAATACCTAATCTAAATCTATTTTGTGTCATCCCCCTTGTTTTTTGAGTGCTAATTTTGTTACCATGTGTTCTGACAGTAAATCCATGAATACTTAGTTTGGATTCCGAAACACCAGTGTGGTTTCTCATGTGCGACTTTGAACTTGCAGGGCTTGTCAATGAAGCACATTACCTTCCTGTTTGATGGACAGCCAATTAGAGAAGAAGACACACCTGCAGAGGTATGAAAAACACTCTTTCTGCAAATTGCTACACAGATATTCGGATGTCTGAGTGGTGATCAAAGGGGCTTGAAATCAAAATGATCCTGAAATAGTTGCTGTGAGTTTAGCGTGTTCCAACAAATTTGTGCAGGGTGACTGATGGAAAGTATTTCATGTCTTAGGTAATTAAAGTTACTCCTGAAGTGCTGATTAGGAGCAGAGAGCCATGTGCTTTTGTCACCACTTTCAAGTTTTCTGTATTACTTACATGTTCTATATTTTTAAAATGTTAAAATAATTCCTGTGTTACTCCCTCAGCTGGAGATGAAACACAAGGACACGATCGAAGTGTACCGCCAGCAGACAGGTGGAGGCTGCTAAGACACAGCATCTTTTGGAGAACAGTTTGAGGATACTCATCACACCTCACTCTCTTGTGTGTCCTTGGATTTGCTGTTTTATTAGGGAACAAATGAACATGCCAGTCTCACAGGGTTCTTTGAATCTCCACAGGATATTTACCAAAGTAGCTTGTTGTCTTTGACGTTCTGAGTGCACAAGTCAAAATAGTATCTGCAGGGATTGAGCTGTGTCTGAATTCAGCCATTTTTAATTCAGATTAAGAAATGTGTGTTACTGTTGTTTGCCTTTTAAAAAAAAATTATTGTTTGTGTTATCTCTTTTTTCTCTCTCTTTAAACCTGTGGCCTAAGCATCCATCCATGTGTTGGGACACTGGTTTTTCTTTCCTGGCTCTGGTTGGTCTTGCCCCTCTGTTTTAACTGAAGTTATATAAATAGTTCAATGTATTTTCATAGCAAGTGTGAGTGTAAAAGTTTCCTTTTAAGATGCGTGTGAGAGAAGGAACACAGATACAGGTTTTAAATTTTTAGCTCGTGTTACAAATTCAGTCAGTCCCTTGGGCAGCATCTTGCCCTTGACTGGGGCTAGAACACCATACAATGCTCAGGATAGGGTTTACATACTTAAAGTTTATATGTGTTTTTTTATATTGTGATAAAGTAGGCCAAAATATAGTTTTTTAATGCAGAAATGGGAATATTTTGTCTTGCACTATTGCAGAACTGGAGGTAGCAGGGCAGCTGGTCCAAAAACTTAATGCTTGTGATAGAGTAGCTGTGTGTTTTTGTTGTGAAAGCTTATAAAAATCCCATCACTAAAATTCCAGCTGTTTGCCAAGGGCTGGGCAGCATCTGTCCCGTTGCCTCTTTCTCTGTGGGCATTGGAAGTTTGCAGACTCAGGTTTCTTTTTAATACTTCTTTTTGGTAGATAAACTTTGTAAATGAAGGGGAGAAATGCCTTTTAACGTCACCAAACTATGCAGAAGAGCTAGTAAGTGAGGAGAGACATTTAGGTGTCTTCAAAATAATATTAATAAACTGTTGCCCCTCCAACCTTGCTGAGGTTTAATTATTTGTGTGGTGGTTTGGGCTCCACGAAGCCTGTTCCAGAGGAATTTTAACTCAGGCTGTCCTGCTGCTCCATGGGATCATACGCAGCCTTTTTTCTTTCCTTTTGTTCACGTTAGCTATGCTCCTGCTTGCTGGTATCTCGCAGGGAAGGCCCCTGTTCCCTTTCCGCGGTGGTGATTGTTATGAACAAAACAGCCTGGCTTGGGCTAAGTACTGACATTGAAATGTTAATTAGCTAATTGTTCCTGGGAATCACCTACCTCCGCCCACCCTCACTACCATTCTAGGACTGGGATGCAAAATAATCCAGTGGAATCATGGGAGGGGGTTTTGGGGATGAAAAACACCCCTAAATGGAAAAGATGGGCACAGTGGAGGGGGCTGGATGGGTGTGCTGGTTGGGGAAAAGGGAACCCCATCCCTAGTCTGTGTTTGACCTCCCCGTTCCCCACCGAGGACCAGACTGGACTGGGCTGTGGGAAGCAGGAGCAAAGCACACACACTTCCTGGTGATACCAGGAGGGAAGGAGAGGTCCAGCTGCTGCTGGGCTTCGGCAGCAGGCTCTGCACATCCCCTCACCCTGCGGCCACCAGTGTGCCGGGAGGAAAGGAGAGAGGACGGTCTGCTGGGACTTCAGATACGGACTGCACACCTCTGCACCTCCAGCTACCAGCGTGCCACGGAGACTCCAGGGACAGACTCTGCACGCCTGCTCACCCTTCGGCTACCGGAGAAGCTACAACAGCGGGGGCGAGCTCCTCGTTGAGCCCCCTGCCGAGCTGACTTTTTAATAAAGAGCTGACTATTAATAAAGGCATAGACCCTGTTCATTTCAGTGATGAGCTGGGGTGGGATATCCGCGGATCCGCTGCGGGATGCATCCCGGCGGGAGGGGATCCCAAGGGTGAGCCCAGCTACAAACATCGTGTGTCCTTTCCCGGCGGGCATTCCGCCCGCTGCCGGCGGGAGGACGGGGCGCTACGGCGGAGCGGAGCGGGCGGACCGAGCGCCGCGCTCCGGCCCGCCCCGCCCGCGCACCCGGAAGCGGCGGCGGGGCCGCGCCATGGCGGGGACGGCGCTGAAGCGGCTGATGGCCGAGTACAAGCGTGAGTGCCGCTGCCCGGGCCCCCGGCGCTGCCTGCCGGGCGGCATCGCTCCCGGAGCCGGGGAAATGCCGCGGGCCGGGCGGGGCGGTGGCGGCTGCCGGCCGGGCCAGGCCAGGCCAGGCCGCGGGCCTCCCTGCCGTGCCCCGCCGGCCGCTGTTTCAGCCCAGCCCCGCGTCCGTGCAGCTCCCGGGGCGGGCTGGGGGTCACCGGGAGCGTGGGGGCACTGCCGGCCCTCAGCAGCTGTGGGGCGGGATCCTGCCCCCTGTCCCGCCGGGACACCGCGGGGACAGCTCGGTGTGCGGCTGGCACCTCCGTGAGGCCAGGCCTTAGTCAGGGGGAGGCTGGCAGCCCTGGCCTAGTGGCCAGTTAATTTGATGTTTTTCCCTGTTAAATTTTCCAGATGGAACAGAATGCACGTATGGCAATCTCTGTTGCAGAGCTCTGTTATTACGTCAAAGGTATTTAGAGGGGTTTGTCAGGGCAGATGCCTTCTGGTTGTGGCTGCCCCATCCTTGGAAGTGTCCAGGGCCAGGTGGGACAGGGCTTGGAGCCAGCTGGGCTGGTGGAAGGTGTCCCTGGCCATGGCAGGGGTGAAATGAGATGAACTTTAAGGTCCTTTCCAACTCGAACGATTCTGTAATTCTGTCAAGTCCTTAATGGAAGCAGAATGGCTAGTAAAAGGATTTAAACTCGAATTCAGTGGTGAAAGACATAGACTTGTTTGTTTAAAAAGCACCGTGGGATGTGGCTGCAGGGGGTGTCAAGCAGTGATCCTCACCACAGGGACCTGAGACCTGCTGCAGTGGGCTGGGGCCCTCTGGGAATCCCAGAGCTTCTGGGATGGCTCATCTGCTCCCTGATGGGTTTGAGATGTGTCCAGAGGTGCCTTTTGTTGGCAAGAAATACTTGTTTGTGTAGCTAGGTGCTTTTGGGCTTTGATGCTCTGGGGTTTGGAAGTAGAATGGAGAAAAGAAATGTTTGGTGGAGCTGGGCTGTAAGAACAGGGAAGGTCACTTATTGTGCTCCCCTGGCTGTCCAGGGGAGTTGTTTCTGTCATCATTCAGTGGGATCCTCCAGCCTGTGTGAAAGAGAGTATTTATAGTCACACATTTCCTGCCAGCACCGTGCCTGTCCTCAGGCTGCTCTGCAGAGCGCAGGTCTCTAAGCTGGAGTGTCACACAGGTGTTTGGGCAGCCGGGGCTCCCCACCCAGCTCAGGCTGCTGCCACGGGCAGCTGGGGGTGGTGAGTGGATAAAGTTTGTGCTGACAGCGTGTGTCCCAGAAATCTGCATTTTCTCATTGTAATCCAGAGGCAGTGACCTGAAAAACAACCACAGAAAGTCTTGGCACTGCTTCTGTCCTCTTGTATCAATCCCCTAAGTCTCAAAAAGGCATTTATGATCCTGTGTTGTTGAGGAGCACAGAGGTCTTACTGGAGTGTCTTGTATGAAGGAAATCTTTAGGAAAAATGATATTAAATGACCTCAGGAAGATTTTGACTTAATGCCACAGGCAGACATGAGGTGAATCTTCTCTGCCTAGTTTCCCAGGGTAACACTAGTCATGAACAGAGATAACGTTTTGTCTGTGATCTGCCTTTACAAGCACTTTCCCATGCCCAATAAAACACAGTGTTGTAAAAAACGAATGTAACTGGCAGTGGCTGAGTGCACAGTGCTTTCTGGAAACCTGAGCTATGACAGTGCAGTAAAACAGACATTTTGTTGTCTGTGGTTCCTCTCTGCTGCATGTTTGTTATTTTTCCTTCAGCACAAACCCCAGAATCAAGCCTGACTTACAACCTTTCCCTAGTGTATTTCTAAAGACTGGCAATTAATTGTAGCTCTGCAGAATCTCTTAGCCCTGTAGAGAACTTCAGCTAAAGTTATTAGGAAAAATAAAAATACCTCCTGGTTGTAGGTAGTTCTGCTGCCTCTTTTTAAAATTCTTTCCATTTTTTCCTTTTTCAATTCTTGTCTTTCGTCTTTTTCTGTGCATGTGTGCGCACATGTTTAAGTCTTAATTTAAAGATTTATCATTTCCTTCTGTGAAAAATTCTTGACATTATGGGGAGTTTCTACTTGTTGGAGCCCAGATATATAACTGCATTTTGGGAGAGGCTGTGAATGGCACTGATTTTCTTTCCTATTGAAGAAGGAAGGGAAGGTGGCCGTGGACATCCAGATGATACAGATTGGGTTTCTTGTCCTCATTTGGATCTTTGCATGTTTGACTTTGCTTTCTCAGATTTACTATTTACTCTGCCAGAACTACTTTGCCTAAAGCTTAAAAAAAATCAGATATAAAAATCTGATTAAATAAAAATGTAATCATTTTTATTAAAGCATGTACCTCTTATTAATTCTAGATGTATAATAGTATTAAAGCCTGACCTAAGTCTCTCAGTATCCTATATTTGTGAGAGATAAGAGATGGAAACCTTATTTTTCTATGTTTAGTGTTTCTTGATAGCAGATCTTGAAGATATCTTATGCTGGCTGAAATTTCAAGTGTGAAATGGGTCACTCTGGAAAAATTAAATCTCTAGAGACCTGAGAACTGTAGTGTCTGATTATATGCACTGGATTTCCTTCCTAGAACAACAGGCAACAGGGCAGTGGATTATGCCAATAGGTTTCTTTGAAAGTGCTGTCAGGTTGAAAAAAAAGAGATTTATGTTAATTGTGAGCTTTGGGAAGTCACAGAATTAATAAACCTTCTGAACCTGGCAGGGCTTCAGTGGGTGCCTCCCATCCTTAGTGCCCAGGGAGAGTTGTGTGGAGTCAAAAGAAAACTGGCTGTTTCCAAGCATCTCAGTCCAGGTGCTGTCAGCTACTGCAATGAGCATATTTCCATAATATCTCCTGAGTCCTGGGCTTTTAATCCCCTCGCAGGCTTGCTGCAGTTTTTAGGAAACACACTGTTGAACTTCTCTTTTAAGGACAATCTTCAGTGCTTTAACAAGATGTGTTTTCGGTTCTCCCGAGAACCATCTCCAAGGTGTAATTGGCTGATAATGACTCCACAAAGCGCAGTGAAATGAAAAGGAAGGCACTGATTGTGTGTGCAGCAAATCTGCCCTGAATTCCTGATAGAAGCATCACACTTGTCTGGTGTCAGCTCTGTTTTAAGCTTACAAGGCCTGGCTCTGCTCCCAGGGAGCAAATAAAAAGTTGCACCTGGGGAGGTTTAGATTGGCTATTATGGAAAATTTCTCCACTGAGTGGGACTCTTTGGCCTAGCTGGTCTGTCAGAGTCGCTCTGCATGTGATCAGAGCTTGGTTTTAGCCTCTCACTGATTTCTTTTGCTCACTTAAAATAATTAGACGCCCCCCTGACATTCCATTGAAGTGACCTGGTTTGGAGGCTCTGGGGAGCTGTAGCAGCTCCTAGTGGTCCATGTTAACTGGGCTCTCAGTTTCCTTTTGAACAATTCTGGACAAGTCGCAGGGTAGGATGTCACCATCCCCCTGGAGACCTTTCTCAATGACCAGGTGCAGCTGCTCAAAATCAAAGCTCCTGTGCCCCTGAATGCCCAGTTTCTACTTTACCTGATCCTTAAGGATGGAAGCCTTTCTCTGAGGGGGGAGCTGAGCAAGGAACTGGAGAATTGAACCTGTGTCCTCATGAAGACCCTTTGCTCTGTGGGTTTTGGCTGTTTATTCCCATTGCCCCTGTTCTCCTTGGAGTGGAGTGCTGTATAACACAAATCCATGTGGCTGCCCATCACAGGGACTGCTGCCAGCTTTTCCAGGGAAACATCAGAGGGATTTTCTTCTTAGAGAGAGCCACAAGATGGAGCAAAATGATTCCAGGAGCTCCTGCGTTTGACATCTCCCTCTTTCTGTCTAAAAACATCAACAAGAAAAGCTATT